CCTGCAGCTCCCCATGAATGCCTCATCCACCGGGGGAATCGGTGGAAGGTTCCGCAGGGCACGTCGATCATTGATCACAGACTGACTCCTGCTAGTCAAGGAAGTGTCCCCTGGGTGGTGCAGCCTATCCTCTGGCGGGTTTCCCCGCAACAGAGCCTCTGTCACCGAAGAGGCTGCGGCTCCTGAGGAGGAGGATGCTGCAGCTGCAGCGCCTGGCGGGTTTCCCCGCAATGTTTCTCGGCTGGCGCTGCCCTTGATCGCAGGCGCCCAGGTGCCCCTAGATAGAGCACCTTCCTCAGACCTCTTGGAGCGTGCCGCCGCAGGCGAGGCCGGTGTAGGGGTAAACCCTGCACGCTCGAAAGCCTTGGCCTTGCCGGCGATAGAGCCGCTACGGCTAGGCGGTCGTCTGCGGATTTCCACGGAGTCCTGAGGTTGTTGCCTAGGGTCGGGTCTCTGTGCCGGAATTGCTCTAGTCGGTGACCTCGGCGTTTCAGAGCGAGGAATCTCCATCTGCACATCTAACCCGAGTTCCTCTGAGCGGGCCGACGTTTTCTGTCTCTCCTCCGAAGGCGTCCTGGGTGCAGGTGTTTCGCTCTTGGCCTTCGGTTGGAGTGAGGGCTTCCTTGCCCCCTTCATATAGATCTTTTGGGACTCCAGCAGCATTTGGCGAGTTGCCTCGCGGGTGCGTTCGTCTGCTATTCGCTTGCGCTCCGCATCTGCTGCGGCTCGCTGAGCCTTCTGTCCATCGTCACCCATCATCTCTGGCTGTTGGGCCTGACTGGAGACGCCAGGCGGGTTTCCCCGCATTCCAGGAAGGCGACTGAGCGCATCTTTCTCTTCCTGGGTCATAGGCGCAAGTCCCCTCGGAGGCTGGACCTCCTCGGCCATCGGGCTCCTATGAGCCGTTGTTCCGAGACGACGGTTGATCTCGTCGATTTCTGCTTGAGTCATCGGAACCAACGGTGGATGACCCTCTTTGGCAGGAGTGCGGCCCGCATTCGGGCTCAAGCCGTCGTTGAGCCCTACAGGACACCCGGGCCTGTGCTCCTGGAGTGGCTCTGAGCACGGCCCACAGACTGCGCTGGGCCTGCATAGCTTGCGTGCCGCAATGACATTTCGCAACTGCGTCCGTACTACCTCTATCTCAGGACGACGCATGTTATTCGCGAGCTGGTAGCCACCCCGTATGGACTTGCCTTGGGCATCCCTGTAAGCTGGGTTGCCTTTGCCAGAAGCAGAGCGCTCACCCGTTTGACGCCTCGGGCCATTGTAGGCGAGCAACTGACCCCCTCGTCGAGCGGCATGCTCTGATGGGCCTGCTTGCCTCCATTCGCGTGGGAGCCGTGCTTGAGGGTGAGGGTCGCCCCTGAGGCGTGGATGCGAACGAGACCTCCTGGCATGCTCATCAGATGAGGCCGCCGACGCAGCCTGAGCAGGAACCGGCGGGGGGTCCTGCGGGGCCGCAGGCGGCGCATCTTGGGCAGGCAGGTCTCCCTGCTGACTGGACTCTTGCACAATTGGCTCTTGTGCAGGTGGTGGTGTGTCAGGACTGTCGGGGCTGAAATCCACCTCCTCGTCTTCACCATTGGCTTCCATCATGAGGATGGTGGTCTCGTCCTCGCACATCCCACATCCATCACCCTCTTCATCTTCTGACATAGGGTTGCCGATGACGACGGTCATCGGTCCAGCCGGGACGGGCAGGTTTCCCTGCTGTACAAGCGTCTGAGCATCGCTTGGCTGTCCCGGCGTCGGCGGTACGGTAGTCGGCTCAGGCTCGTTACCGAGCATAGCGTGCGCCTCGGGATGATCATAGTCATGTGTAGGTTGCCCGATAATATTTCGCATGGCCGTGTGGTAGGGCCGTAATCCCGCCGCCTGGAGACCCCATCCTGGCGGAGGAAGAGCCTGACCACGCATGGAGATGGCCCTTTCAAGAGCTTGGCGCCATCTCCCTTTAGAATACCACACATGTCGTTGCACGTCCTCAGGGTGCACACTGTCGATGAGAGTAAGGGCCGCCAGAACTAGCTCCGAGTCGTCACAGGCATCGGTGTCTTGTAGCATCATGTGGCCACTTTCGACACTCTCTTGACTCGGGATATGCTACGACCAATACAGTGTGCATCTGCATGAGGGTCTGCAGTGTCGCGTGCGGTCCGTACTCGCCTGGGGCGAGCGAGCCAGGTGGTACGTGTGGGTTCCCTGGCACGCCCGTAGTGAATGCTTGAGATTCTAATTCCATCAGATCGGCATAATTTGGAGGATATACTGGAGTGGGCCTGTTTCCAGGCATAAGGCCGGGTTGATGTCGAAGGGTGTAGCCAACCTCCGAAGGCGAGGCCTTCACAGTGACATCCTCGTCACTGCTCTCGTAGGCCATGATGTTGCCTGGGTTACCGAACATCCAGTCGAAGAAGGATAAGGGCTGGTTTCCCAGCGAACCATTCTCAACAGGCGTAAGCTCGATATTTCCGAGAACAAATCTGCGGAGGTACTCGAGGTAGTACGCGTGCAGTCCGTGGCCGTACGCCTCGAGCTCATCCAATTTGTCCATGCTGCTGGCCCAAGTGAAAAATATCTGTTCCATGGCCTCAAGATCTTGGAGGCTCAGACGCTTAATGACTGGTTCACTTGAGCCGAAATTGGCTTCGGTCGATCTGCCCTTTCCATTTCCCTTCGCTGGACAATATGTTACAATATGGTCGGTGCACTTTAGGATCTGGCCGTCTCTACCTCGCGGGTTTCCCCGCCTACCTTTACCTTTGCTTGAGGTATCTCTACGGCCTTTTCCGCGGCCTTCCCCCCCGAAAAATTATCTCACCATACTAATCGTCTGAGAGCCTCTGGAGGAAAGCCGAGATGCCTCGTCCATTCAACCTACGGCGACCCCGTTTGCCTTTACCTTTTCCTTTGAAGCTCCTCCGTATCCTCCTCCTAACACGACGCACTGGTTTTCGTGTGAACCTCCTCCACCTCCGCTTTGCCTATTGTAATAACCAGAACAGGTGTTCGGCACGCTGGTTGCCACCTTCAATTTGCATGATACCTGGCCAATCTAAGGGTTCAGTACCATCTGATGATATGGTGTCGGTGTCGGTGCCGGAGTCGAAATCGTCATTTCCTAGGTAGGTGGATACACCGTCGTTTAGGGGATTCGCTTCCCCCCATAAGGAACGGTGTGGTTGAGGTTCTCTAGGAGGAGGGCTGGTTGCCCAGCTTGGTTGTGATCGACCCCCTGTTAGTAGGGCAGTGGACTCTCCAGGATTGTCGGCCCATATGCTTGCGGGCCCGTTGCCAGATTGAGCTTCGGTGGTTAAGGTGGTATAGAAATTTCCACTACCAGTTCCCCTTCCCCTCCCAAACACTGCTCCTATGTTGCCAGGGGACCGTTCTGACAAATGGCCTATCGAGCGCATCCTCTCGCACAACTCATCATGCTGTTGTTGTGTTCGGGGCATTTTGTGGTTAAGTGGCTGCAAGAGTTGCATGGCTCTCTGGTTGCCGACGCCTAGGGCGCGGAATAGGATAGTAGTGAGCAGTTGGAAGCTGGGAAGGTCAAACCCCACCGACTGTGCCTCAAGACGGGCCATCTCGAACCGAGTGAGGGTTACATCGATTCGTTCTCCGTGAGGCACATGGAAGTTGATGAACTGTGTGCCTGAAGTGAGTTGGCGCTCATCTTCCAGGCGTTCGAACTTCATGCTTAAGAGGAACATGATGTAGGTGACTGGGTCGGTGTGGACACCATCGATGTCCGCACCGTAGTTTATAATGTCAGGTGGTACCCTCATGGCGAGTGTCCTCGCTAGGCCACCCAGGCCGCGTTGTATGGCGGCTGCTTGGGCCTGTGGCGTCATGCGTCCGCTTGTGACGTTGAGCCACGCGTTGACCTCATAAACGTTCTCGCGGAAAGGTACGTTGCCTTGAGGGTCCCAGTATGGGCCATGTGTTTGCCCATCGGTGCTGTTGTCTCCTCGGCGCATGTGTCCGATTGTTGCCCCCAGCGCAAACCATATGATGGCGAAGATAACCAACCCAAGGCTGTGAAGATATGGGTGGTTATCAGGCGCGTTGCCGCGCTGGGGTAGCGCCTTGTCAAGTCTTCGAGGCGCTTTATCTTGCGGGTCTCCCCGCCTCTGCTTCAAGTACTGCGCTTTTGGCTCGTTGCCGAGCGGTTGGTAGTAGCGTAGTGATGAAGCGTATATGGTACCAATGTTGTTGTCTAGACGTTGTGCCTCTCGTGTTGCTTCTTGCTCTTGAATTGATCCTCGTAAATGTAGTTGGAGTGGTGGCGCAGGGTGGTAGTTGGTCACGAAGATCGTGCCGGATAGCGTGAGGATAAGAAGAGCAAGAGCTGACCACACGAGAGTGCGGCCAGCTCCGCTACCAAGTCTGAAAAGACTATGGTAAGTCAAATAGCATCCGATTCCATTGGAAGCGGATGGCAGATAACGTCCAATGCCATGCTGGGGTAGTTCAGTATGGGGAGTGGACGGATAAGATCGGATAAGATCGATGTAGTGACTTTTCCAGCACATAGCGAACACCAGCAGTGTCCGGGCAAATAGGGCGCGCGTGCCTTGAGCCGAAGGCATCGGCGCGCGAGCTATATTTCCGATCCTATATAACATCTCCCAAAGAGCTACCCTTAAAGTGTTATATGCGGTCGACAACCGTCCTAGCCAGGCCTATTTCCGCTCAGTCACACTCCAGTCCGGCTTTGTCGGGCTTCAGCCTTGGGCTAAGTTTGGCCCACAGCTCCCATCGCTCCCGCGAAGACCTCCCATGAGCTGCCTCCTCGGCCTCGATGTTTTCGATGCGGCATGGTGTCTGGGGTAGGGGGCCACATGCGAACCCTACCCCTACCCCCCTCGATTTCTGAGGGGGGGGGGAGGTTCACTTCGTTCGGGAGATCCCGAGCGAAGTGAGCCCCCCCTCCCCCTCAGAAGTCGTGGGGGGTAGGGGTAGGGTTCGCATGTGGCCCACTGTGGGGGAAGGTGCTGTCCTCCCTCGCGGGCATCGCCTTCGGGGCCGGCATGGCGGCGCTCACCGACCAGTCAGCCAAGTTCTCGCAAGAGCGGTGGGCACCTGGGGCGTCCGCAGGGCATGCCCTGCCGGCCCTGCCGGCTCGGTGCTGCCTCGCCGGGCCGCGCATCGCACCCATCGGGCACCTTCTGCTCACCTGCCCTGCCCCTCCCCCTCTCCTGTCCCTCGTCCTCGTCCCTTCCTCCCTCCCTCCCGTTCTCCCTTCCCGTTCCTCTTTCTGACGCTTCTCACTCGGCCCCCCCTTCCTCCTCCTCCTCCTCCTCCTCCTCCTGCTGCTCCTCCTCCTCCACCTCACCCTCCTCCTCCTCCTCCTCCTCCTCCTCCTTCTCCTCGAGCCTCCTGCGCAGGTTCCGCCTCTACGGTCGTCTTCTCCATCTTTTTTCCCCATTTTTTCTCCTCCCTCTTCCCCCTCACCCTTTCTCTTCTTTCAGTGGCAGGCTCTGCCTCTATTGTCGCCTCCTCCCGAGAATGGCCCAGGGGCATCCGGGTCCCTGACTATGAAAACGCCACTTAGCAGACGCAGCCTCTTGGAGGATTGGCCCCGCGGCGCTCTGCTTCTGAGTGTGAGGTCTAAGTCTTAATTATAGTATGCAGCGCCGACGCCAAAATGCAAGAAGAATTGCAAGCATGGGCGGCAAGAAGGGGACGGGAGGACCAGGGAGGCAGGGCGCGGCAGACAGTGGCGGCCGGCAAGCAGATAAGGAGGGCAAGGGGACGAGACGGGGGGCGGGTGGGGCGTCGTCGCTTTTCGGGGGCGTCAAAGCCGACGGGGTGGAAGCGCTGGCCGTCGGCGGTGGAAGAGGCGCTGATGGCAGTGGTGGTTGTCATGGTCGGCGCTGGCGGTCGGTCGGAGGTGCTGAATGTGGTGGTCGTGATGGTCGGGCTGGCGGTCGTCGTGAGTTCAGCGGCTGTGGGCGAGGCGGTGGTCATGCTAATGGTGGCCGTTCTTGTAGTTGTCGTGCTGGGGCTGCTGGTGGTGGTCGTCGCGGAAGCAGCTGGCTGCACTTTACCTTCCCAGAGTGCTCAGGGCCATCCCCTTGTTCCCTTGCTGCAAGGTGCGTGAGATGTCCTGCCATATCCGGCTCAAGAGCTCGGACCGGTTGGAGTCTTCTAAGGTGGAGCCGTAGCTGCGCCCGAAAGTCACGGCTTCGTCGGACGGCCGCCCCCCAGTCTCGAAGACCTTCGGGACGAAGTCAAGGCCCTCCTGGGGGGGTTACTGGTCGCGCTTGTAATCGACCATTGTGGCAGCTGCGAGGCAGTCTGTTTGGTATCGGGCGAGCCTGCATGAGCCGTAGGTAATGACGTAGAATGTACGCAAGTCACGGCCCAGTCCACAAATATGTGCCGTCCAGTACATGTCCAGCCGCGCCTCTTGTGGCCCCCCTGTCTGGGAGTTACGGCGGTCCCAGCCTGGCGCCCGTTGCTCAGTCGGCGCAGCGTGCCACGTGATGTCCTTGTGCAGCTTGGCATGTCGGTCGCGTAGCTGGTCGCGCAAGACGGTGCGAGAGCTGCCCACCTTTTGCCACTTGGCGCGGAACCCATTAGGGGTCGAGCGGCACCCCGCACGGCGTTCCGACTTGTCGTCGGTGTTGGCATCGTGAGGCGGCGGGGCAGACCAGTACCCGGACGCGGCACAGGAGGTTCACCTTGAAGTGGTCGTCTGGCCGCAGAGGATCTCCTGGTTGTCGTGGTTGGAGAAACGCCCCTGCCCCGACATCGCCGCATGCCTGCAGCGCCAGCCGCCCGTCCTCGGGGAGCTCCCGCAGCAAGCGTTCTCTGCTTCTTCCAGAAGCTGCCTTGCTCCGCACGCCCTGGAGCTTGGCGTTAAGTCGGGCTTGTCCCTCTTTCAAAAATAGTCAAAACATGGTCTGGGGACGAGTTTCCTTTTATTTTTCACCATTTTGAAGTGTTTGTTGGCTATCTTTTGTTTTTCGTCCAACATCGGCCTGTAGGGGGACAGGCCCGACCTAAGCTTGGCGGGGGGCTTTTAGAGGCTTCGGGCCCACTCGATGGGTTGGCCAGCCGTGGCCCTCGAGGCTTGCAGCGCCTGCCCGGCCTGGGCGAGCGCCCAGAGGGTCCGCGGGTAGCGCGTCCGGAGCCCCTCCAGCGTGCCCACGTCCGAACATCTCGCCACGTCGTGGAGGCAGAGCGCCCAACTAATCAGGAGCGAGAGAAGGACGTACACGTACATGAATCCACGCTGTTTTCGATATTTCGCATTGCGCGAATATTCGTATCACGCGGCCTGTCTCGCGGGTCAAGGGGCCGTGGTCATGTACATAGCTGGGCGCGTACGTCCTTTGTGGGCTCCCTAAACTAGCGGCGTACGCTGCCGGCACCGTGTGGGCGGCGGACGGAATGGCACAACCTCCGCTCACGAGGCGCATTGTGGCTTGCAGCCTCTGGAGCTCGTTCGGTTGGCCCCCTCGGAGTAGCGGTGCCAGCGCCGAAAACACCACTGCGCCGAGCTGCTCCACCCATTGGCCCTGCAAGTTAGCACGTAGGTGGTGGGCGCGTATCGGCAGCGAGCGAGGGTGGGAAGTGACAAGGAGAAGGCCTTCCCAGAAGGCGGCGGGACTTTTCAGAAGCCCTCGCGCCTTCGGAGAAGCCTTCAGTGTTTTCGGGGAACGCTCAGCAAACTTCTCAGAAGGCCAGGGGACTTCCCCCCCTTCGCTCGCCGAGCGTAGGTCCGGAGAAGGGCGAAGCAGGCCTCGGCAGACAAATTGGCCATTCGGAGGTCCCGGAGCAGGCGGGCGAAGGCCTGTGCCCGCTGCGCCGCCGCCGCCAGGCCGTCTGCCCCTGCGTCTTCACCGCCAAGTGGTCCTCCTGCTGGTCGAGCCGCGGCGTCGTGTTGCCCTGCAGTCGCATCCTCCCTCCCTCCTTCCTCCTTTCTTCCTCCATCTTCCCCCTCCCCCTTTGCTACTCTCTCTCTCTCTCTTTTTGTTTCCCCTCCTCCTTCCTTCCCCCTCCTCCCCCGCCCCCCTTTCCTCCCCCTCTTGCCCCCCCCCCCCTTTCCTCGCGCTCCCGTCGGGGGCGCTCCCCGTGGACCCTGAGGGCCAGCGGGGCCAGCGCGCCCGCGCCAGTGGCTGAGCTGGCAGGCGCCTCGTTCCCTCCTCTTCCCTTCCTCCTCCGCCTTGCAGGCGCTTCTTTCCCTCCTCTTCGCCTTCCTCCTCCTTCGCCTTGCTGCGCAGCCAAGGGCGGCTCACGTGCTTTACTGGGTGGTGCTGGCCAGCGGAGGGCTAAACACCCTCCCTCCCGCCTCCCCCCCCCCCCCAGCTCGCCTCCTCCCTGGAGGCTCCGCGGAGGAAGTCGGAGGCCTCCGGGGGGGGCCTGCGCAGACCTCCTCTGGGGTCCTCCGCAGGCCTCCAGGGACGTCCAGAGGCACCCACTGGAGGAGGAGCACACCGGCGCGAGAAGGTCGAAGACAAGGCCGAAGCGGAGGAGGAAGAGGAGGAGGAGGAGGAGGAGGAGGAGGAGGAGGGTGACGATCGGGACAAGGACGATGACGAGGACACGGACGAGGACAAGGACAGCGAAGATGACGAAGCGGATGAGGAGGAGGAGGAGGAGGAGGAGGAGGAGGAGGAGGCGGACGAGGAGGGGGAGGAGGAGGAGGAGGTATCGGTATCGCTCCTCTGAGTCCAAGGGTCGGATGGACTTGGAAGAAGTTTTGGAAACCCCCCTAACATCAAGCTCTCGGCACTCCACAACGGAGGAGGAGGAGGAGGAGGAGGAGGAGGAGGAGGAGGAGGAGGAGGAGGAGGGCGACGATCGGGACAATGACGAGGACGAGGACACGGACGAGGATGACGACCTACCTCATCGTCCTCGTCCTCATGTTTCTCCTCCTCGTCCTGCTCGCGTTCGTGTTCGGGCTCCTCGTCCTGTTTCTGCCTCCGTGTCGCCCTTGCGCTCCCCCTCTTTTCTCTTCGTCCTCGTCCTTGTGCTCGCTCTCTCCTACCTCCTCCCTCTCCTCCTCCTCCTGTTCCTCCGGTTTCTGCTGTTCCTCTTCCTGCTCGTCCTGGTCATGTTTCTGCCCCTTCTCTTCCTGCTCCTGTATTTGCTGCTGCCTTCACCGCGACGGGTCCGCTCTGAAGCCGCTGACTCACAAGTTCCTGCTGCTGCTTTTCGACCTCCTCTAGATGGCAGGCTTTTGCCGCATGCCCCAGAAGGGCGCCCAGGGCCACCCCACGAGTTGGACACGCACCAGGCCCAATGAGTCATGTACTTTGCCGCATCCCTTTTCATTCCTCCTCTCCTCTCTCCTCTGCTCCTGCTCCCTGCTGCTCCTCCTCCTTTTTCTCTTTTTCCTTCTTCTCTATTTCGTTCTTGTCCTCCTTCTCCTCATTATCCTCCTCCACCTCCTCCTTCTGCTCCTCGCTCTTGCTGGCGCTGTGTCCAGATGCCTCTTGGAGGCCTCTTGCGGTTTCTTTGGTGACCTAATGGAGATCTTTTGAGGGCCTCCGAGCCTCCTGGAGGCGTCCCGGGGTCCTCTTGGGTCTGTGGGGGTCGTTGGGGGTGTGGGGCTGATGGGGGTCTTGGGAGCCATCTTTGGGCGGAGGGCTCAAACTGTCGGTTCGAGACTCCTTTCGGGGGCCTCTCTTGGAGGCGATCGGGGCGGGTCGCCACCATGCCGGGCCAACCGTCGACTACTTCGGACCGATCGCAACCGGGTGTGATCGGGCCCATGTGGTTGGATTGTTTTAGGAAAGTTGGAGCATTGTCTTGATTATGAGAATGCTCGCGAGAGCGCTTCTGGATTAAACGAATTACCTTAGAGATCCCAGAGGAGTTCCGAACCAGCGGTTGCGATCGGGCCGATCACCGACGGTTTATCACATCTATCTTGTCCAAATAAATGTTATGCAATCCACGTTGTGCAGTATATGCGGTGCAGTGTGCGGTGCTACGTGGCGCAATCCACGTGGTGCAATTTACGCGGTGCGCATGTCACGCGGTGCAATCGACGCGGTGCAGTCCAAGTGTGGCAGTCTACACCGTGTTATCCACGCGGTGTATGTTGTATATACAGAT